AGAAACTTATCACTTGATGTCAAACACAGAGTACAAGCTAGGTATCAAAGTAGAGATTTCTACTCTAGTTATCAGTAATGAGTTGCCTACAGAATGATATAGTTCCCCATGGTTCCCAAATGTTTGTTCCTCTGCTTACTTAGGAAGTCTTTATTTATATACCCAGTGAGATTTAGGGCTAGCTTCTTCTGCTTAATTGCACTGGCCTACAGGAGCAGTAGTTTGGTTTTGTTTTTTTTTTTTTAAACAACATTTTTAAGTAGTTGGAAAAACCAGAAATAATAATTAGTGCTTTTTTACTGTATAAGTTATTAGGTTGTAAGTTAACCATGCATATGGAAGAATATATCAAGAGCTTTACAAAATGCTGTTCAAACAGGGTGCCTGATTTATAATCCTTGTTTGATAGCTTTTTGGGGTATTATTAAGCCTGTTACTAATTCTGTGATACCTTGTATACAAGATGAGTAAGTTCAGTGACCAGGGCATGAATTGGATGAGGCTTATGCATAGCCATGTTAGTAAGCTATGGAGACTAGCTATCTCATCTGATGAGAAACATCACCTTTTGCAAGTCGTCTTCTTGCCATGTGACCTTTTCTTTTGGGCAGCAGATGATGGATATTGAATAATGCTCCTGAACTTGCCCTCAGGTTCTCCTCTGCCTCTGCAGGAGAGGATGGTTGGGCCCTGGCCCTTCACCTTCTTTTGGGTCCGGTGAAGAAGCAACAGGAAAATGAGGATGTTTTCTCTGAAGTGCCAGAAGGGCTACACTGGCAATAAGGGTAGGGACTGTCTCCCTTGGTTTCAAATAGTCAGAAGTTTTTAATCCTGTGGGGTGATTTGGGAGAAGGATGGGGAGTAGTTCTGCATTTGAGAGTAAGAAAAAGGTTTGAGCAAGACTGAGAGGAAGCAGTAAAGAAAAAGAAATGACACCTACTCCAAGATCCCAGGGGCAAGGGTTCTTGGGTTAAAATTCTATTACTGAGGACATTACCTAAACTGTATCCCTTATACCATCCTTGGGATTTCGGTGAATGTTGTCACTGCACAGTGTTGAACTAGATAAAACAGCTTTCTTCCCCCCAGGACATACCCTTGTTTTCCTGGCACCAGTCCGTAATGGTTTAAGCACAATCATCTACTTGGTGGTAAATTTTCAGGTACAGTGTAAATAAAGTGTGCCATGAAGTCATAAATCTAATCCCTCACAGCTTAACGGGGAAGCAGGGAATGGCTCAGTCATTCTTGCAGTAAAGAATGTGCAAAATGTAATCTGTCTCTAAGTGGCTGAATTGCATGCTCTGTCATACTCAATAGCTTACTCTGTAAATTTGCCTCCAGTTTGGGGCTAGTTTCTTAGTGAATCAGAGTGAGTTTGACTACCATACCATGAATGGGGCAAGAGAAAATAAATTGCAAAGCGACTTCTCCTCCCTTTTTTTCCTCTACTCTTTGTGTCAAAATGGCCTGATTCTTCTCCCAACTATTTGGCCCAGGAAAGTTCAGTCATTCTGGCTACCTGATTCTCCTCCTCTGCTCAGTAGTGCTGTCTTGACTGCTGTCATGTCCTCAACTTCTTCACCACCCAATAATCATTTCATCTCCAATGTTTCTTGGGGTTTTCTCCTTGCCGGCATGCTGTTCTGCACTCTGATTTACCCTAGAGGAAAGGTGATCTCTCTTCCCTTGCTAGCTTTTTGATCCACTTCCCACAGTTCTTGATGGTAACTGGGTTCGAGGGCTCTCCCATAACAGACCCTGCACCTGGCTCAGGAGGTCCCTGAGCTGCCAGCTGTGGGGGTCCAGAGGCTCTTTGGGAGTGCTGGTATATGCTTGCTGTATTCTTGGACTCATTCTTGTCTGGTTGCTTTTGGCCATGGACGTGGCCTGGTTTGATTGAGTGTGGCTATTTTTGTCTTTTAATTTACTGGCTTTATTTGTGTAAAAGTCATCTAGGCAAACTACAGAACTTCATGTAGCAGATGGCTGGAATTGCTGCCATGTTTAGCATTTTTGTGATACGTTTCAGACTTGAACGTATTTACTGAGTTTTGTATGAGAAACATGATTCAAGGAAAGCAAAAATCTGTAGCCTCTAACCACTACAGTATACTCAATCCTGCTGCTCTGTGTACTGTGGTGGCTGCCTGTCTTGACAGAAGTCAGATCAAGTTCACTCAGTATTACACATGGAAAACCTTTTTTAAATTAAATAATCATTTAATTTGGTAAGCTAGTGTATTTTTCTGAAACAAGGTGATTGTTATTTGAGCTGGAAATAAAATGATAAAGGAAGCAATACTTTACCATGATCTTAGGAACATGGGCATTTAAATGTCATTGATGTAATCCTGTAGTAGAAATGTTTGTTTAAAACAAACAAACAACAACAAAAAGAACCCCAAACCCCCTTAAATCAACAGAAAGGGAACACTTTTGTTGCTGATTATTTCAGTAAAACATTATTGGAGTGGTCGAAGTCTAAAGTATTTGGGATGATCCTGCTGTTACTGTGATGGAAGTGAAGTTTGGACTGTTTGTGGTTGCTGATGGCTATGGTCAGGATACCTCTAACCAGGGTAAATATTGCTATTACAACCTTGTTAAAACTTTGCCACCAAAATTGGAGCTGGGGGAAGGTGAGAGGAACAGAGGACAGCACTGGGGTGTGCAGAATGCGGCCCTCCTGAGGGCTGCAGTACGAGATGCCAGAGCTGCCGTGGTGGCTCGCGGGACCGCGGCTGTTGGGAGGCTGGGAAGCACCGACAGGCTGTATAACGCTTGAGCAGCCATGATTTTATTGGTGCTTGGCCTTCAGCAAGTGTGAGATAACTTGGGTTAGTGTGGACTTACTGAACTGTAGGAATAAGGAAAAAAAAGGGGGGGGCGAGGGGGAGGTGGGCTACCATAAACCAGAAGGAGTGCCTGTGGTTCTCCCTCCTGAAGGGTGTGGAGTGGCTCTCAGTCTCCAGTAGTCTGACATACTGAATTGATTTACCTCAGCTTCTCGGAACTCTGTAGTAGTGCCCACCGGTTGGGTGTCCTGGGTGTTTGTGGCAAGGTGTCGGGGGGCTGCAGGGGCCTCGGCGAGGAGAGGCTGGGGCTGCCTTGTGCCGGACACAGCCGGGGCTGCCGGGCATGGCTGAGCCCCTCAGCCAAGATGGCGGCATCTCTGGGAGAGCGTGTTCACGAAAGGACAAAATGCCGCACAGATGGCGAGGAGCGAGGGGGGAAGACGTGAGAAACAGCCCTGCAAGCAGCCGGGTGAGGGGAGTTTCCCATCACTTCACAGAAGAGAAACCACCTCAGTACGACATGTCTGTTCTTTAGAGTGCACAGAAACAGCTTGTGAAAGCTTAGATCAAGACATTAAGAAGCCATGGTACTAGGAAGCTCTTTGTTGTTTTTTCCCCATTTCTTCCCTTCATGGATAGATGCCGGAGAGATCACTGAATGAAGTATTTTAGGAATGTAAACTTGTTTCCCACCATTTTAGTAGTGTGATATGGAACTGGAGCTTTTTGTCTCAGATTCTGTCTTCGATGTGAAAGAGGTGCAACTTTAAATACTACTTTTGCTGTCTTTGTAAGGGGGTTCACGTATAGAAACCTGCATACATCTTTGGTTGTTTGCTCAACTATGTGTGAAAATGCCAACTCCTGTTCTTAGTTGAACTTAGAGAGAGAAAAATCCAGACTCGCATCACTGCTGGCCTTCATTGAGGTAATGTGTTCCTCAGGACCAACAGGTGTGTAGTCCAGAGTAACTAGTTTAGCTACCTTCAGGTTTTTTTCTTTTTTAACATCTGTCTGTTAAACTCGAGGTGCAAATAGGAAATGCAGCATTTGGCAACGGTTTGTGGCTTTGCAATCATTTTGAGAGATCTGGATCTATGAAACAATGAATGGGTTGTGATGAGGCATAAATAGCACGTTTTCATTTCTGACAGTAAATAACCGTTCTTTTTTTTTTCTTGTTATATAAAGAAAAAAAGAATACATGTTTTGCTTAGACCAGTGCAGACAGGTCACAAAACGAGTAACTTTTAAATATCAGTAAGCAGAAGCATGTGAAACACTTGCTTTAGCACAATTATTTGAAGCTGCTCAGTTAAGATGAGCAGGAGTACTTTTTTTTTTTGGTTGGCTTAAGAATGGAGAGAACTCTAGACAGGAAACTGGGTAAGGATTCGCTAAAACACAAAGAGGTTACTTCTGTGTGTGCCACTGTTACTCTTTTTTGAACAAAGGGAAAAACTGAAAAATTATATAATCTAGCAGTTAGTGATCATTCATCATCTAAAAGCAGTGTTTGACTAGTTCTGGAGTCTTTGCTTTTCATGTTCTGCCATCCTGTGTCCTGTGTGTCAAGACCTTCTTTGTCAAAAAGAGTGTATATGCTTCAGACCACAAGCAACTTTTGGAACCATTTAGCAGTGGTTAACTCAGCTGGAACTGATGGTTAAACTAACCTGCGTGGGAATGAAACAAACTGCTTTAAATGTGAATTTCACTGCAGCAGGAAGGTTGAGATATTTGGGGTGACAGTGAAACATGAACACTTGATTTATTTTTTTTCCAGCAGCAGCTGTCAGTGAAAAGGTTTTTAGGGTAGGGAATACTGCTTGAATAAATAGTAACACTTTGAATGGTGTCAACAGCCATGAAAGGCATTAGGTTATACCTGCCCTGTAGTTGGAAAGGATGTATCGCAACTAGTGTGGGCACATGTGTCATATAGCAGTGTGTACTGGAGATGCCAGAGTCTGCACTGAAACAAAGCATGCGTTCCTAGGCAACCGGATGCAGCTTTTGCTCATTTGTGACCCAAATTAATATGTCTGCATGAAGTCCTGTTAAAACATTAACTTGTGTCAGTGCTAGTTTGGATGTGTGCATACTGTGCTCTGTTGCATCGTCCAGAGATGCCTTGCTGTGGTTTGGATGCACTTTTCTTAAATTAGGAAGAAACATGATTTCTTTCTGTTTATTCTTCAGGCAACAAGAGCTTCTCTGACCCAACATTGTACCAATTTGGGGGAGTCACTGGGCAAAGAAAACGATATTGCTCTGATTATTGATGGCCACACACTCAAGTATGCCCTTTCATTTGAAGTCAGGCAGAGCTTTCTGGACTTGGCACTCTCCTGTAAAGCGGTCATTTGTTGCAGGTAAGAAATTCTGGGACTTTTTGTGATAACAAAATGGGTGCAAAACCTGTGAAATGTTACCTAGTATGTTAACTTCCCTTTCCTGCTTTTAGTGCTCACAGGAAATATATAAGTAGAGGAAATAGTGTGATATTCAAGAAGAGGCAAACTGCAGTGGTAAGGCACTTGAAAATATAATTGATTTCTCTGCTATGGAACTATTGTGAAGCAAGGCAGTGCTGGGAGCAGCAAAGGCGGACTGGAGAGAGGTATTCCTCTTATACCACAGACAGGTCTGTGAAAGCGTTCATAAGGCTGACTGATAGGCCAACAAAGTTTAACATTTTAGTTCTTCCTGTCCTACAGGATACTCTACAGTGAGCAGTAGAGCTTGTACACCTTCAGGGTGAGCATTCAATCACCTGCATGTTCCCTTCTGATGGTAGAAGTCTTGTTAGCTGTTGGAAGCAGTTTCATATGTGTGCTGGACTTGGTTAGTAGCTTCTTTCCTGCTCTTACAGGGGAGGAAGCAAGTCCTTCACTAAAATTAAGTGCCATCTAATAATGCAGTTCCCTCTGCCACAGTCAGTCCCAAGCAAGTCCAATCTCTTTTATTCAACGATGAAAGATCATGACAATATCTGCCTGAGTATAGAAGACACTGATAAGGAGGAGTGGTATGGATGTGATCATTTGTAAGCAATAGGAATTGGGTAGTAAGAAGTTTATGTGACTCTTCAATTCGGCTCTAGAGAAGGTCTCTGGATGAATTTAAATTGTCTTGACTTATCAATTATGTATGCTATGCAAGAATGTGTGTAACTGCAATTTGCCCTATTTTAAATGTTAGACTACCGCTTGCTTTACTAGGTCACAACAGAATTTGATGCTGTTTGTGGATTTAGCTATACACAGATGTGGTCCCATGTGATGACTCCTTCTCCAGAAGGAAGAGCCTCCAAAAACTGAAAAACAAAATCTGGCCTGCTTTACTTTCTGTATAGCAGGAAGACTGCATCATTTTTAACTTTGAAAGATTATGCAGCTTTGAGGACTGTGTGTGTGTCTGTGTGTGTGTGTGTTTGTGCTCGTTGCTGGTATTTGGGGAGAACTGTGACCTAGGAGGGATTGTTGGTTTAGGTGGACAGGAAGTTTTATCTGCATTCCAGAAGCAAGACCTGCTTTTGGGAGGAATGACTACGTAGAGATCTTGTAGTGCTGTTTTGTTGTCTTACTTATTTTTATATATGTGCACATTAGCATACAAATATTGCATGGCAAAAGCAATTGCAGTCTATGCACCTGAAGTATAGATGAACCCATTGTTTTTTTTCATCTCTGACTAGTTTCTTTCCAAGTGCTGGAACTCTTGGACTGCTGTACTGCAGGGTGCGATACTGGGGCTAGCACTGTTCAGTATCTTCATTAATGACCTGACAGTCAGATGGAGTATGTCCTCAAAAGTTTACAGATAATACAAAACTGTGAGGAGTGGCTGATGCACCAGCTGGTTGTGGTGCCATTCTGAGGGACGTTGACAGGCTGAAGAATTGAGCAGAGAGATATCTCATGAAGCTGAGGAAGGGGAAATGCCAAGTCCCTGTGTTTGCAGAGTTACAGCCCCATGCACCAGTAAATACTAGGGGTTGCCAGGCTAGAAAGCAGCTTTGTCCAGAAGGATCCTGGGGAGCTGGTGGACAAGCTGACTATGAACCAACAATGCACCCTAGTGACAAAGAAAAGGCCAACAGTGTCCTGGGCTGCAGTATGAAGGGTATGGCCAGCAGGTCAAGGGAGGTGATCCTTCTTCTCTATTCAACATTGGTGAGGTCACATCTGGAGTTTTGTGTCTAGTTCTGGGATACTCAGTGTAAGATACAAACAGGTTTAATGAAGAGAGTCCTGTGCAGGGCCCCAAAGACAATTAAGGGACTGGAGCATCTTTTGTACAAGGAGAGGCTGAGAAAGCTGGGAGTGTTCAGCCTAGAGAAGAGAAGGCTCAGAGGGGTTCTTATCAATTTGCATAAATATATAATAGGAGTGGATGAAGATGAGCGAGCCAGGCTCTTCTCTGTAGTGCTTAGTGACAGGACAAGATGCAACAGAAAAATTAGAACACATGAATGTCTGTCTGAACACAGAAACCCCCCACTATTTTACTGTGAATGTGGTCCAGTACTGGAACGGGTTTCTCAGAGAGGTTGTGGAGTCTGTGTTCTTGGAGACATGGAAGACCCAACTGGATGACATGGTACTGGACAACCTGCTCTAGCTGACCCTGCTTTAGCCAGGGGTGTTGAACTAGCTGATTTCCAGCAGTCTCTTCCAACTTGGGTGATTCTAGGATTCTGTCACTGGGGACAAATGTCTTGTTTTTTCCAGCCAGTGCTCTTTGTCCTTCTCTCAAGTCCTGTTCTAAATCATTGTCAACTGTAATGACCTTCCTGAAGCGGTTCTTTAATAGCAATTTTTTTTGCTACTGCTGATTGATTCCCCCTCCCCCCCCAGTATGTATGGGGGGGGATAGAGGGAGAGGGCATGAGGTGTTAGAGGAGCCGTCTTGCTTTTGCAGCTGTTTCATGGGAGTGAACAAGACCGTTTTACAAGAGGGAGCTCACACAGTTGCAGCAATCTTCTCTTGAATGCAACAGGCCCAGATTCAGGGCCAGAAAGCAGCTCAGCATTCTGTTTTTTGTGCAAAGTTATCTTGGGCTTAGAGAACATCGAGTGCCCAGGAAGGGAATTGACCCTATGTGGTAGATTTATGCTGTTGCATTTGTGGGAAGTTAACAAACACTGAGCAAACAGAAAGCTCTTACTTTCATACTTTATCACAGTGCTTTGGTAGAGATCCTTCCAAGGCAGTTTGTTAGTTTATTTCTCAAAGATTTGACAAGCTAGGTCAAAGACGTATGTAGCTGAAACAAATAATAAATTGCAAATTTTTAAAATTATATATTAACGTACGTAACTAACTGAAAAAAGTAATGGTCTTGTTTTGCGAAGAGATGCGTGATATTGGACATTTCCTCTCCCGTTACTTCATGACTGAGCCAACGGCAGTTTTATTAGTGAATTAGCAAATTGAGGAACAATGCGGAAAAAATACTGTAAAGTGTAAATCAAAGGGGAAAAGATGATGTAATTTCATAGGCTTAAAGAGGAATAAAAATAACTGAGCTTTAAAACCCCAGGGGAAAAGAGGAATGCCTTTAATAGCCTTTAAGGCTTTGCAGGAACCTTCCATTTACTTGCCAGGTGCTTGATACTGAAGAAAGAAAAACATATTTTTTTTTTCTACTCCAGGTTGTTTTTAATAGTACTTTGTGTGTCAAATAAGACAGTGCACTTAAACTTCACAGGAAAAAGTTTTAAAATGTAATTGGCGTAGCAAGAGGAAATTTCAAATTATAGTCTTCAAACAAAAATGTTAATTGGGAGGGGGGATCTGGGTCTTTAAACTTAGTGTTATGATGTTCAACAACTCTAGGAGTTGTGTTTTTATTCTCCATATAGCATAAATTTGTGCGACTTAATACTTCATAAATTTACTACAACATTTTCATCTCCTTTGGGGAGTTTCAGCTGCATTTGCCATTGAAAGATTTTTTTTTTAATATACTTAAGATATACTGTATATTCATTTGCTGGGCTTTAAGTATAAACTGTAGCTGAACTTGATTCTCAGGGGTGATGTCTTAAAATGAAACTGTAGTAAGCCTGGCCCCATTTTGCTTTAAGAAGGAGAGATGGTATCTTTTGATGGGGTTAAGTCTTCCACTGTTACAGTGTCTCTAACAGGCCACTGGCACAATGGATCAAAATACACCCCTCAGGAGACTTGGTGAAGCTTGCAAAATCAAACTAAACAATTCTTTAAGAAAAAGCCTTGTTTGTTAAAAGTTTTTCCAGAGACTGACAGATCTTATTATCTTCCCTCACACTGACTGGGATGTCAGTATGTCAAGAGCAAGGAAAACTTAATTTGAGTGGAAGTAAATGTAGTTTGGAAGGCAATTGAACTCATAACTTCATTTATAAGATCTGAGCTGTTGATTGCCTGTCTGGTTTTCAAATGTCCCTTTAAAGGACCTGTTTTTATGATGTTTTGTGAGAGCAAAATGTTAAGGCTCAGGTAGAAGTGAGATTATTATTTTTTTCTAATAACAAAATGGAGTTTTATCATTCATCTAGTGTTTATATCTCTTAGACAGCTAGTTTGTACAGCAGACTGCTGCATTTGGCTTTGAATATAAAAGTAGCAGAGAAGTATGTAACTTGCATGTTACAACAGCATATTTATTTCTCTACTGAAGAGCCTGACTTGAATTGAAGTATTTGTAATTGAAATATGGGGTGTTCAGAAGTAATTTTTTATGACTTTGTATGCTTAGGGAACGATTTTTTTGTCATTGAATAGAACTTTTCTGCAGGTGACAGTGACTGTGCCTTTGTATGGGTTTAATGCCGTATTAACAAGACTTGTATCAGGAAGCAGCAATTCATTGGCATTTTGTAGATTAAATCATTCCAAGCAGTTTATAATTACTTCAGTACTTAACATTAATTGTTGGACAGTAGTAGTCCTTCCTTTAATTTCCCTCACAGATATAAGCACAATGAAGCAAGCATCTCGAGAGAGATGTGTGGCATGAGGCTGTGACCACATCCTTCTTTGGGCTGCCTCAGAGTTTTGGGGTTTTTTTGCTCTTTTGCTTATATTACTGGCCATTTCTGCAGTACTGCTTGAGGTGATGGTGCTGGGATGTTGTCTGAGTGGAGTATTACTCTCTTCCACACACTTATCTGCAGAGCCACAATGTTAAACTGAGCTTTTGTACTTAGATCCTGCAGCCCTTTTCAACTGAGTGAAGAGTGAGTTGATGCCCTTATAGGAGAAGGTTTGGGACTTTGTGGTGAAAGAAACACCATACCACCTGCCTCCCCTGTCTGAACTTCTGTATTCCTAAATGGAGATCAGCTGGCACACAGTGTTTGGATGGTAATCACTCACCTCAAAC